GTAGCCATCCTTCCGATCCAACGCGGAAAAGATAGTTGACTTTCCCATGGAATTCAACAAGACATCTTTCCGCGGGATCGGCGTTTGAGACGGAATGGTGGCCGTTTTCAGCTTATTATAAGCATGAACCACGCGCCATCCACCTGTTGCTTTACGCACACAGAAGGTCGGGCTGCAGTGAGGCGACTTGCTCACACGCATATGTCCCGCCTTGACTCGCTTGTCGAAGAACTCATCGATGTAATCGACTTGTTCCTTCGGCAACGGCCATTGCCTGGTCACACAATACTTGGTGCCAGGCTCCAGGTCAATTTCGTGCCTGATGCCCCTATCGGCCTGTAGGCGGCTCGGCACTTCTGCTGGAAACACATCACGGTGTTTCCACAGAACATCATAGAACGGGCTGTCCTTCAAGGCACATCAGCCTTGAGCAGCGAACCGTTTCTTTTTGTCGGTCTCCAAGACGCTCTCATCCATTGTGGATGAAGATCAACAGTCCACCACATTCTCTTCTGGAACTGGTGTGACTATCTCGTGGATCTTTTCTTCCTTTAGTTCGGACAGGAACAGATCCCACGACATCTCCGAGAGATTTACTATCTCTTCGGCAGATGACAAGACCAGTTGGAGCACCTCAACTGAGGATGCCTCCGGCATCTTGTCGTTGACGGCCTCGAACAACTCGTTCGTAGGTCCGTCTTCTTGGACCGAGACTGATCCAAGGGTCACTCGTTTTGACGTGCCCTTGATCGTCTTAATACGTCTGGTGCTCGTTATTCGAGTTACCACGACCTTTGACCTGGAAGAAGGTGTCGTTGCTATTTCAGCTACACACTCCTTCCAGCCGCACCAGACTCATAGCTCTGTGCCGGTTCTTGTGGCGCTTGACTTCCTGTCAGCCCACCATCAACTGCCACAGGCTCTCGGCTCTGTGCAGGACTATTGGAAGCATGACTACTTGTCATCGCCCCATTCGCTACACCAGTCTATTCGACCTGGGTAGGAATATGTGTCACCTGGCTTTCTGCCAGGGCACTTCAAACTACACCACTCCTCTCGAGCTGGGTAGTTCCTGGTGTCGATTGACATACCGTCATCGCACCCTCGACTGTGTTGGACACAACATCAATCACATCAGCCTCTTGCAAGAGCACATCCTTTCCGGTGTCTTGCGTAGAGCTAGCGACTGTGCGTGTACGTCAGTCTATCCATGGTTGGTGTTTAGCCAACCAAGGCATGCCTAGGATGAGGTCATACGGACTCTCCATACCTAGCACTGTGAACTTCTCTTTACAAGAGAAGTCACTGAAACTGAGGGCGAGTTCAACTTGAGCTCCCTCTGATTTTACGAGCGCGCCGTTCGCTAAACGAACGATCACCTCTTCTCGCTTGCCATCCTGGCAAAGCGACTCATAACTCGCCGGTATCTTTTACAGAGCCGCGAGTTTCGCAAAGTTTTGTGATGCACCCGAATCCACGAGAAGGGTCATCACTTGGTCATAGCCTCGTACTCGAGCGCTATAGACCAAAAGGGTTGAGGTCCGACCTTTCGGAACCTCAGGGACTATGCTAACCATTTGTTCGATCACTCTGAACTTAGGGGTAGCTTCAGAGTCCGCGACAGTAGGGCATCCCGCCCCTACTGCGCTCCCGCATTTCCCGACCCATCTTGGGCAGGTGCTGAACCCGTGCGTCGTGTACGCTGATTCTTCGCACCTCCCTTCGGGTTGGGAGATCTTTTGCTGGCTGCCTTAGCACCAGCAGCTACTTTGGCATAGCAGCGAGCCATCATATGGCCTCGCTTGCCGCACTTGTAGCAGATCACATCTGCATTGCCTAACTCCATAGGAGTGGCATCAGACCTTTCGGCCGACGGCCTGTAATAGGCTGTCGCCGAGGCGCTGTTGTAGGATTGCTCCTCAACTAAGGCAATGTCAATTGCCTCTTCCATCGTCGCTGGCACCTTTTGAAAAAGGACCTGACGCGATGGGCCGTGCCTAAGTCCATTCATGAACGTGGCCACCTTGATACTTTACGGTATCGGTTCCCCATTAATGGACGCCAACAGCGAACGCATCTCCTGCACAAATTCTTGCAGAGAGCGTTTCGCCTGTCGTGCTCCAAAGAAGCGCGCCATAAGCAACACTTCCTTGTTAGGCGGCTGATACATGGCGGAAATCTTTGCCTTAAAGATCGCCCATGATGGCAATGTATCAGCATTAGTGTGGAGAAGTGCCAAGAGAATCGGGGCCCCAGAGGACATCGTAATAAAGAGCACAGAAATGCAGGTCACTCCCTCGAGGGAATGACTATGATAGCGTCTCGCAAGGTCCCAAGGTTCAGCTCAGAGTCACCAGGGACAGGGGTATCAGTTACCGGGGACAGAGTTTTCAGTCGCCAGGGACAAGGTGCCAGTCACCGGGGACGGGGTTTTCAGTCGCCAGGGACAGGGGTACCAGTCGCTGGGGACAGGGGTACCGAAGGTTCAGGGTCCTGAAGTCACTTGGAGAAGTGCCAGGTTGCCCTACAGTGCAGAGCTGGCACAAGTCCAAAGAACCTGAAAGTCCAGTGCCTCGAGGGCAACCACGTTCCCACGGTGGACCAGGACTCAAGGTGAATCATGATCCAAAGTGGACCACAACCCAAGGTGGTCCCGACACCAAAGGTGGACCAAGATGACTCATGGTGACCGGTGGACCCTAAGTGACCGGTGGACCCCAGGTGACAGGTGGACCCCAGGTGACAGGTGGACCCTAAGTGACAGGTGGACCCCAGATGCCAAGTGGACCCCAAACAACAGGTGGACCCCAGACGACAGGTGGACCCCAGTTGACAGGTGGACCCTAGGTGACGGGGGACCCAGGTGACAGGTGGACCCCAGGTGACAGGTGTACCCCACGTGACTGGTGGACCCCAGGTGACAGGTGGACCCAGGTGACCGGTGGACCCCAAGTTATAGAAGGTACAAAGCTTCCTTAAAGTGCAGAGCCGGTACAAGTCCCATGTCCTAAAAGAGCCAGTTATTCTTCCACAAGTTGACACGTGGTACCATCCAGAGCGAAGGGTTAGGGTTTGGCAAGAACAGCATACAGAGAATAAGATAAATAAACACACTCAAATTTTTATTACACTTGGCAGCTTTAAGCGCCCCTCCTAAGCTTCTCCGTCGCTTCACCTCTTCCGGGCGGGATACCCTTTGGCCCCCCGACATCCAGCAAGTGTTAGACGGCTCAAGCAACGCAAGTTGAACCTCAGGATAGTTGGCCTGAGGTGTCATGACTCTACGACCTACTACAGGAAGCGGTTTCCCTACGGGGAAGAACACAAAGGGGTCCAAGGACCAAGAACAGTCAGCCACCAAAGGGGTACATAGTACCAGGTGCATCGCTATCGACTAAGTCGATTGAGCCCAAGAAACCCAGTCCCAAGTGAAGTATATCCACTCGGGGACCACCAAGTCCAAGTCTTATACAAAGACCAAGTCTTTAAGTCTTCTGCGTCTAACGAGGAGCAAGACCAGCCAAGCCGACGGGTACACAAGGTGAGACCCAAGGTTGACGCGACACGGTATCGGGGAAGCCCTCCGTAAGTCGGCAGTCCGGCGCTGTGTGTGTTTGTGATTCTCTCACGTTGTTTGAGAATCCACTCCACTACAAAGTCACCGACGTCACGTAGAAGTTTTGTTAGCTTCTCGTGCGTGGTGCGTATGTTTAAGCAAATTCAAGACTGAGCTATATTTAATTAATTATAGCTAAATATATATTTAACTACTAATTGGCTATATATATATATATATATATATATAGATAGATCGGATACGCGACTCTTTAGAAGCGTATCCTGTCGCATGATCTTAAATCTAGATTTAAGTTTGCGAATGACGTCCTTCTGAGACGTCGCGATGCCTAGCTTCAACTAGCGTCATCCCTTCTCATGTGAATCTATCAATGGACATCACATTCACGAGGGTGGATCACGTTTGTGTATCGCATCCAAGTGACAGGTCAAAAGTAATCATGGATACTTTTAAACCAAACATTAAGTATATTACTTAATGTTTACGTGTAACTAGATGCCCTGTTTTGGCTCATTTCGCAATGGCAGAGTTTGCATTTAAATTACATGTGCAGATATTCATAGTAGAGTGTCCATATGTCGGCTTCTATCTATAACATTAATATACGAAACGATGGCACACATACGTGTTCATATTCACCACTTCATATTGCAATATCAAATGCAGCCTTTTTAGATTATTAGATGAGATACATGCTTAATTTTTTTTAAATCATGGCTCAGTCCTCAAATATACTTTAAGCCTTGGCATTGGCAAAATCAAGCATTGTCATCAGGTTGAATTGTAATCAGTTACCATAAGTGAAGTGACCCATATGTATTGTGTCTTACTCATTTAGATTTCTATAATCAACCGGATGTTGTAAAGTAAAAAGATGGGTACGAAAATTAAAAGCAGGCTTCGCGCACCGTGTCCGTCGAAATGACGGGTGCAGATTGACCTTTGGTGTAGCGGACACAATTCTTTCATTATACAGTATAGAAGATATAGAAGATAGATAATACTCGTATGAGCGCGTCAGCTGACACTGTAACCCCCTGATCTTATTTACGGTACTGGAAACGGCATGAACATCTTTGTCGTGCTTTCTGAATATAAATTCAGTCCGTAGCTTATATATCTTCGTGTAATAGTTCCACCTCAACTTCGTCCAGACTTTACAGCAAAAATTGAGTCGCCTACCATTTTCTGGTCGTTCTACTGTTTCTCCTGTTCGTGCAGACGGACGAGAAGAGCAAAAGCAATAAGGACAGGTTGCAGCTCAGCAAGAGCAGATTCTTCCAGGACTCATAACGTTCATATAGAGGCAGCAGCCGTGATGCAGACACCGACAATCACTGTGGATGTTATACCATCGGCCGTGATTGTCATAAGCATTTTAATATATATGCACCTCATTATAGTGGTGCATATATCAATTCAACTACACGTGCATATGCTGAACGTGATTAACTAGGATCACAGCGTTGGGCGCGACAAATTGGCAGTGCGGACATTCTTGCTTATCATCGTCTGCATAGTTTTGCACTCCTGTCGGTGGCATGTTGAGATTTGGACTGGATGTCAATGTCACTACTGGCATAGCCGGTTCTAACCCAAATATCCTGCTGCCACCTAATACAGCGACTGGGTCAGGCACATTTTGAGAATGGTCACTTTGCACATGAGCAACAATCGTCACAGCACTAGGTGTTGTAAACGGGCAGTATGGACATCGATGTGTACTTGGAGTTTCAGTCACTGTCTGATAGGCTGGATAGTACACAGATCCTGCAATCCTAGCCGGGCATTGCTCCTCCAAATGCCTTGAGCTGGCTCCTTGTTTGCTGCGGCCATAAATCCAGCGCGTGGCCAAAAAAATAACTAGAAGCAGCACAATTACACAGCCCACGATAATGCCGACTACCTTGGCAGACCAGAAAGACTTGCTATCATTTGAGGCTGCTGATCCTAACATGGATCCAATGACGCTGGACGACGCCACAAAAGCAAACTTTTGGTTATCCGCCAGCAGCACACTTCGGCCGTAGATGACTGCCTCAATCACTATTTCTCCATTATCTCTGAGTGCTGAGTTGTTTAATGTGTCGCGACTACTACTGCTGCTTGTGTTACTGCCGGTGGCAGCAACTAAAAGATCAGCGTAGGAAACCTGCACCATCTCTACGTTGTTCTTCGAATCCCTTCCTGTGCTCGGATCTGCTGTCAGTGGACCAAACGTTCGAGTACCATTGCGAACGCGAATAACTAGGTCCAGATCGTGCTGCAACTGCGACGTCGCCTGAGTCGACCCTGGCGGATCAGTCCATACGAGCGTAGCGCGCAAATCCACACCACGAGCTACCGTAAATGAAATCACAATTTTACCTCCGTGGGCGACTGCTGGCTCACTGTTTTTAGTAGAATTTGGCAGAAAATACAGAGACGGCGGTCGTTTGCTGCTGCCATTGCCACTACTAGTTCTGCTCAAGCTGGTCCCATCCACAATGTTTGTAAGATTTGGTTTGCCGTAGCCCTGGTAGACGTCTGGGAACGTCACATCAATAGAATCCGAGGATAACCTCGAACATGACACAATACCGCTAGTGGGCAACGCACCCATTCGCTTTCGCAAGGAATCTCCACTGTGAATAATCAATGCCTTCAACAAGGAAGCAGGAATCGTGCTCATAGCGTTAGCAGTATTTTTACGGCCGTCTTTCCACCAACCATCGCGAAGCCACTCATAGAGAAGCACAGCGACACCAGTGACCACTGGTGTGGCCTGCGATGTGCCCTGAAGTGAGCACGTAGCCATACTCTTTCGCGTTGATCCCGGGGCCTCTGACTGACTTGATGTAAGACTCATTCCAGGTGCCACAACATCAGGCTTCATTCTTCCATCTGTGGTAGGCCCTGCGGACGAAAACGACGCTACCGTGTGCTCGTTGAAAACGTCGGAGCACGCGTACTCCGTGAACGATGCTGCTGAGTTAAGTGATGCGCCAACCGAAATCACGTTCTTGGCGCCAGATGGTGATGATATGGTGCGCTGACCAGTGATGGAGGACTCACCACTGTTGCCTGCCGCCACAACTACGAGCACATCAGGATTGTTGTAAATAAAGGCGTCCAGATCTCTGGCTTGAGAGCTATAGTCCGATCCAGGTGTACCCCACGAAAACGAAAAAATCTTAGCGCCTGCATCCATTTGACGTTTCAGAAGGTCGCTGGCATCTGCGGGTGTAGCCAGCGACACAGGGCAATTTAATTTACCGGCACAGATATCACTCTGGATCCCAATGTCCATAAATGCTATACGAGCCTTGTCTGCAATTCCCAAATCAACATTTTTACCACTAAACGAGCTGCCAGCCAGAAGGCCTGCGACGTGAGTGCCATGACCACAAGTAATAGTCTCTGCTTCATCTGCTTTGTTTGCCCAGGCATTGTACATAACCACTTTGCGAGCCGACATCACCATACGAGAAAATATATCACGATCGTCTTGATCCAACTGATCGTGATAGAGATACAGTCCCGTGTCTGTGATCCCTACAACGACATCATTGCCACGAATACCTGACTCTCTTGCTGATTCCACACCAACCAGACTTGGAACGTAAGCATCAAGGCGGCGACGGCTCTGCATGTGCGTCCAGCGTTCCTTCTCTTCACCTCGTAACAGGTTCGCTGTGATATCGTGCCGTTCATCTATCCATTCGACTGCGCTTGCAACTACAGCGAGTCCTAGCACATTTGTCCACGTGGTTAGATCTTCTAATGGTTTTGTAAATATCGAGCTTGGCTGATATTTGCTCGTTTCGAATAGATTAAGTAGTCCGAAGAGCTCGCGCGCTCGTAGCTCAAATGAATTCATAACAGACTGTAGATTTGCCCCTTGCACCAGTCTAATCTCCATAGCAGGCGCCGCCATCGATACATTCCCTTGTCTTCTCATTCTATCACTTAACTGAGCAGCGCTTCGTGCAAATGGCATGAGCTTCAGAATCGGCGGCAGATCCAGCACAATGTCCACGCATTCTAGCGCTCGTAATTTCTCAACCACCAATTCGTCGGCGTGCACAAACATAACCGTATTTTCTCCCAGATTGTCTCCTTTCCTCGTCAGCAACGGCGTCTCGTTCTCTTCGCTTCCCCATACTTTTTGTATTGTGGTGATGCATACTCTATCTTGGTCTTGCTCCTGTGTCGTCACCAGCTTAACCAATCTGGGCTTTCGTTCTATCTCCTCCTCCTGCTTCGAGTCCCCATCCTGCACACTTGGGAGTAATTTGTCTTGTAAAAACGCCAGCTGGCAGGCGTCGGCTGTGACGCTGTTGCCCCCCAGCATGGCGTCGTACGCCTGGAAGAAGGCATCGTAAAAGCCCTGAAACACCTCGGCGCTGTCTGCGCTTGACAGCACGAACGAGAACGCCAGAGTTGACACGTTTTGCTCGACATCGTTGCATGTAAGCACATCAATCTTCTGATCATGGACTTTTAACGCGCGTCTATGGCCGCAGAGAGACGGTAGACATTGCGTAGACTGAGACAAGTGGGCGGCAGAACAGTGGAAGGTGCAGATCGCGGCGACATCTGCGAACTCGAGACCCCTCGCATCATACAGAGAAGCGAGGCAACGCTTTGTAAGCCCAACGAAGAGTAGTAGTTTCCAGATCACACCCATTTACCTTTACTTTTGACTTAAAGACAAGTTGATCAGTGCTGGTTTCTCTTCGTCTTTCTATTTTTGTGACACGTCTTTCTTTATTATGTGTACCGGTATTGGTATAAAACATGCAATGAAGCACGGGCTTGGGCATTAACATGGTAAGCGCCGTGCAAAAAAGGGAATATGAATGGAGAAGATAAAGTGCACACAAACGCCATAGGAGCTGAAGGCCGACGTGTATTCTATCAAACGTGCAAAGTGTGAAAGACGAATGGAGACATCTAGGAGCTGCAAGCCCGAAGGACACGCGTCAGGCCGAACGACCGTCGCCGTGATTAATCAGTTGACCGTGACCGCTTCACATACTGCAACGTTTAAAAACGTGATATTTCTCGTGTCATGTGACGAATGTGCCAAGTAAACAAAGCCGCAAGTTTCAGCTTGCCAACTACCACATTGCAGCCTTTGATGCAGTCACACTTAATCTAAGTTATGACATTCTTACCGTTAAGCCAAATGGCCCAGACCCAAGGTCGAATTGACATGGCGGTGTTCCTGAAGGTTTTTCTGCACGTACACTACAATTTGCTTTCTTCGTGATGCGCTCTGCTGCCGACTACGTATCGAGATTTGGCTTCGACAGGATATAGTTTGCCGGATCCTGAAAGCGCTTAGTCTACTTTAACAGCTTGTGCAGAATGGCACTGTATTATTGTAACGGGGTGAGGCCGTTACATAATATTGACCCTTGTATGAAGTGTCAATAAAAATATGTTTATAACTAATAATATTTGACAATATTATCTTTTCCTATAATATTGTCCCTAGATCTCCTTGAAGTTGGAGATACCCTCTCATTGGTTGATATGGGCCATTATATCAACCAACGCGCTGACCAATGAACGGTGGACGCGCGCAATGAGTGGAGGGCAAGTTGTCAACATACATAGTTGTAGTTTAATATAGTTAACATAGGTTATAACAGATTAGTTTTATTAGATCGTAAACTATATTAAATACAGTTTCCTTTTCCTCTACTTCTAAGCGTGTTATTTCAAAGTAAAGCTTCCTCTGCTTTTTTAAGTAAGAAAGGCTTTAAGTCACCTGCTTTCACTGTAATCAGTGAAAGTAGACTATACTGTAATCAGTATAGTCGGAGGGTGCCCCACTACACCTGGTAGCACTTTGTGGTCCGTTCAGCGACCACCGCACCACCCGCTATGGAATCAGCGGGTGATGAACGTCATCACGCAACGCGTGATGATTGCCGCCATTTGAGTGACCTCGAATGGAATGCGGTTCAGCGTATGGCTGAAACCATCGGCAACCCTGCCGTTTGTGCCATGTTGCTCTCTCTTATCGGAGACGACCAACATGCAACCATCGCCAAGTTCATACAACATGAACTTGACGAAGTTGTAAAGAAACTCACCTTGCTAGAGGAGCAAGGTTCTCAACAGGTTGAACTGTTGAGAGAACAAGGCGCTCAACAAGCTGACTTGTTGATGCAGCAGGGTGCTCAACAGTCTGAACTGTTGAGACAACAGCAGGCTAGTGCTGTTGCTGCCGGGTCGGCGTATACACGTCGACCTGAGTCCTTGAAGATTGATGTCTCCAAGTACAAGGCAGTCGAAAGCGACTCCTTGTTAAGATGGTTCGTCAAGCTCGACGATGCCATGAGGCTCGTCGCATCGATGACGATGCGATGAAGGTCAAGTTCGCCATGTCGAACTTGGCAGGACGTGCCAAAGCTTGGGCCTTAGGACTCAAACTGCACGACCCATACGTTTTCTCAACGTATGATGTCTTCGCGCGGCTCAAACACACGTTTGAACCGCCTCGCGCCGAATTTAGGGCTCGGGCTGAGCTCCTGAATTTGAAACAGGGTAAGCGTGATATACACGCTTACGCCCAACACGTACGATACCTCGTTAGTTGTATTGTGCTGAACCCAATCGATGAACACACGCAGGTTACTGTGTTCATCAAGGGTCTGACAGATGGTCCTGTTAAGACCCACCTGTTCCGCTTGGAGCTAGAATCGCTGGACCAAGCGATCTCTTCAGCGGGACAGGAGGACTGTAGCCTGCAACAGGCTCACGTCCACTCGGGGTCCTATCGTCCACCGAGACGACAGGAGGGCGGAGGTCCAGAACCAATGGACCTCTCCTATGTAGAGAGCGAGCAACCTCGCTCTCCAGGGTACAAGCGATTGCAAAAGTGCAATCGCTGTCAGAAGTTGGGCCACTACGCTTATGAGTGTAGTGCCCCACGCCCAGTGTCTCGTAACACTGAGAGTGACGATCGACCGTCTGCCAAGAAGGGCCAGAGACGTGGGTCCCACGTTGCTGCGAAATCGCAACAACGTGGTGGACCATCAAAAAACGGTCGGGGTCAGTAGGGGCGGAGCGCCCTACTGATCCAGCAACGTCAAGAGAGTTCGCGGGACTCTTGACGAAGGTTGCTCCCAACACACAGTCACTGTGTGTTGCCGCTCCCAGTGATGAGGTATCCCTCATCACATTGAAGATCGAAGTGACAAAGAACATGTCACTTCGCGCCCTAGTTGATTGTGGGGCTTCGAACAAAGTTGTTCGACGCCAATCGCTAGATGATCGTAGGCTCAAATATGTTGAGCGCGAGACCCCTCCAACGAGGATGACGGTGCGCCTTGCAACTGGCGCATCCGTAACAGTAAAAATCGTGTAGTGGGAATTTACTACACGCTTGAAGGTAAAAAGTACGATGATGATTTCATCGTACTCGATCTGGACGACAAATTTGATGTCATCCTAGGATTACCATGGCCTAGAAGGTATGAGCCATGGGTCAGCTGGCAGCATCGAACCGTGAAGATGCCTGCCGCTTGTTCATCAGATGGCCATCTGATGAACGTCTTGGAGCGTTCACAAGCGTGTGAATGTACTACGAGTGAGTGTGATGGCCTCACTTGTGGTTCAATCGTTAGTACGACTGCACAAGAACTCAGCGTGACAGACAGTCACGCTGTGGAGCAAGCTGCCGGCGGCTGTGCACAAGCACAGGCAGCGCCGAAGGTCCACCACTTGAATAAGCCGAGTGGACCGGGACATGAATGCTCGCCTAGAGGGCAGCATTCACCGAAGAGTAAACCGGTTGCCCAGAAGCGGCAACACGGTAATCCTAGATCAACTGGAGAGTTGATCGTAGAGGATCTCGCTGTGGTTGCGCCACCACAGCTAGAGGAAGTCGATGGAACAGGTTCCATCGAGCCTGCGGGAATAAGTCCCCAGGAAATAATCACTGAGGAAATAAGTCTCCAGTGCCCTGAGGGAATAAGTCCCCAGGAAGTAACCAAGACGTTGTACGTCTTGGTTAATGACGGATCAAATGTAGGCGCTTATACGCTTGATCTGATCGCGCCTCCGAAGTTAACTTTGGAGATAACTCAGTTGCCTACGCTAGAACCTAAAAGGTTCTTGCGTGATCTGCGTAGTGGAAAAGTCAAGCAGATCTGTGTGCTCGTCGCAGAAGACGAGTACATGACTGACATTCGGTCAGCAACCGTTTTTGCCGAGAACGAACGGGTTCTCAGCAGCTCATCAATGGACGAAAGTGTCCTTGATGAGAAGACTCGGATTGAACGATATACATCGCAATCCTGGGAGTCGCTGAAGTCAAATCCTTTGTACAAGGATTTGGTCGAATTCAAGGATGTATTCCCTGAATCCGTTCCGTGCGAGTTGCCTAATGTAACGGGCTAAGGAACCGTTACCGTCTTACACTAAAAGGGCGTTGAGGAAGCGCTCTTAATTAACTCGTAAATATAACTCTGTTTTATTTTTGTTTTAGTTTTAATTCGCAGTAAGTGCGAATATGTTCCCTAGCTCATGGGAACCACTTAATATGGAAGTCAATTTATTATTGGTAAACTATTGTGTCTGGCACTCCAATAATAAACCAATAATAAAATGACGCGTAGTATCCGCTAATCGGATACTGCCCTATGCCTACTTATGTAATAATGTATTAATTCTATAACTACTTATGTAATAGGTTGCCCCATTACATCACCCCCCTCTTTAAGTTGTGCTTACTACAACGTAAGCACATAACTTGAAAATGATTCTTTTCACCAAAGATGCAGCGACACAACCTCGAACCTGCTCAGTGACACGCAACTGAGCAGCATGACCCTGGCCGCGCGCGCAATGATATATCTGACGACAACAACCGTACGATCTGCATGGAGCAGACACCGCGAGTCACGGACGCACACTTGATCCCGTGGACGCTATACCGTTATATCAGCGCTAATCATCCAGAATTGCGAGAAGTCATAACGAAACTCTTCATTCGCTATCATTCCGTTGGTGCAGTGGTTTACCACTGAGTTCTTGATCGTGATGTCGCTGGTTCGATCCCCACGTCTGCCATATTCGATTCGCTATGGCAACCCACATAGTCGCAAATGCCATCCAAGTTTTCTCGAGCCTCATAATAGATCCCGGAATCGCTCGGGGACTCGTCGTCAAAATTCTGTTGCTCGGGAGCATCACGGCTCGCGAGATTGGGGATGGAATCGGCAGCTTCACTTGCAATAGCCGTCTTCCTACGCGACTCATAATCCTCGACCACGTCTGGTACATCTTGGAACAGCGTACTCGATGGCTCCCATGTATCGTCCGCCGGGGAATATCCCAACCAGCGAACCCTGTAATGCTTCTCGACACGCTTCTTCATGGGCGCCGAGTTGTTACTCGGCGCATAAAACTTGTGATCCTCGTGATCGACAATTCGGTCGACAATCCAGCGTCGCGCACCCGATGCATCAACTAAGGGAGGAGGAGCATCACGACGGAACGCCTCTGGCGATGAGCGCCGATTCTCGTAATCGGGCTCCAGTGCAGTCGAATGATGAGCTGCGTCTACTTCACGCTGAAGTCGAGGAATCGAAGAATGCCATACTTGATGCTCGCGAGATGGCTGAGAGATCTCAAGATCGTGCGGATGCTGCGACTGAGGCTGCTGAGCGG